TAAAGAAGAACTCCAGGGAAAAGTTTTATTAAACCCTTGTGGGGGTAGCCCCACTGCAAGGGTTAACTGCTCCTTTGTGTCTAGGTGTTAAAAAAGTTACACTCACCCAAACTGCCAAGCCACCTCCCTGCTTCTCCGGTCACTGAAGTGTGTCTCCTCTTCTTCTGCACAGATGGATTGTTCCTCAGGGTCCCATGGAGTTCTTTACCTTTGCCCCCCTTGAATTTTTTTGTGTTTTATTTTTATTTTATTTCACATTTTAAATGTTGTGATGTGCGGCAGCTCCTGGTCTGTCCCTATGCCTTTAAAGAGGTTGGGCTACCTCCTGGCGAACCTGCACCCAATTCATCCTTTGCTTTATATGCTCCAAAATTAGAGTTAGGACCACACTACACAGAGGGGCCTTGACAAGGCATTGTGACTTCCACATATTTTGCAAAAGTTGTGCAACTAAACCTCTGTTTTTAACCTTAATAGTTAGACAGTGTATTTTTGTTTTGCAGGCTAACTGGTAAGTCTTACACAGCGCTAATTATACTAAAGTGAATACATGTGTATATATACACCAAAATTAGTGTAAATTTATCGACTCATACGTGACTACCATATGTGATCAAAGTTCATGAAAGTTAATTCAGTGTTTTCCATATACAAGTGAATAACGTAACAATAAAAACTTTACATACACTAAGGTGTACGTTTAATAAACTGTGAAAGAGTGTGATAAGCAGTGAGAAGGCTTTTCTCACCTTAGCAAAGTGAAAAGGCTAGAAAATGGTGTTTAATAACCCGTGATAAATCAGGTAGGAACTGAAATATCTCACCTCTTTTCATCCTGGTGATATGTACACAGAAAGTAATGGGAATATACCTGTTTAATAAAGGGAGAAAAGTAGAGAACAGCTTTATCACTGGATAAGTATTGTGAAAAGTGCCCTTGATTTTTCTCGAGAAGCACTGAGCAAAGATACAGGAACTCGTCATAAACCTAGTTCCTTTAGGAACCTTCAGGAACAGTTAAAATAAAGCACAGATGCTTCTCTTCTGGATTTCTGACATTTTGGGACATTTATGCCAGTAGCAATGGTTGGCTGCCCAGCCATTGCTACTGGCTACTGCTGATTGAAGCCTGTGACACACTGCAGGTGATGCGCACGTCTCGGGGCTTCATACAAGCGATCCGCCGGCTCTATAGCCGGCGGATCGCTTGTATATTAACGGGCATCGCTGCCTCTTTTCAAATAGTGGGGGTTTCCCGCTCGCGCGCGCCACGCCCGAGCAGCCGGATGTAACAGGACGTGTATACACGCCCAGTTACATCCAAGAAGCTCCCGGCAGGCCGTGTATACACAGCGGCTGGCCGGGAGGTAGTTAATATTGTTATTGGGTGGTTTGGCAGAGTAAACTATGATCCTGTCAGGAGGATTGTAGATTATCACAAAGGATGTCATTGTGCAGCTCAGAATACATTCCCCACATTGCTTTCTCTACTGATCACTGTGACGACTTATCTCAGCCTTTCACAGCTGTTTCGTGTGATAAGTTTTCTTTTCGCAGGTTATTACACAGCCTCTGTGCAGCCGAGAAAAACAAAGAGATCTGCTGAGTAAAGTTAACTCGTGATAAAGCTAGTTTTATCACGGTTTATTAAACGTACACCTTAGCGTGCTAAAATCAATCGTATGTGACAAAAATTATGTGAACAGAATATGAATAATTAATTGTAAATGTGAATATGAATTTCTCTGTGATCAAAATAAATGTATCAATTTGAAACTATAAGTGATGTATTCCTATGATAAAAGATTTATTTTCCGTGATTGGTTATGTGCAAAACTTCAACACACAAAGTCTTTTTTTATAAAGAAGTTTGATTAATAAAACATTTATGCAATATTGACAAAGTCTCTGTGATGTTTATCAATCCATTCCACGTGAAAAAATAAAAAATATATATAATAAAATTGTTAAAAATATTTGGTGATGTGCACTCAGTCCTTAGTTTGGGGAGTGTATTGAGATCAATACCATTCCCCTCAAGGTGTGTACTCACCCCAGGTATCCGGCTGTAACAGACAGCCCCACACGTTTGTTTTTACCGGAGTAGGATAGTTCGGTTTGTTTTGTCGGCAACTTTTCCTTACTTGATTCTCCAGTTAGAACATGCCCATTCCTACAGGTATTCAACCGATCTCCAGTCTGTGTCTGCATCCAGCCAGTGCAGCCTGACTCTCTCTCAGAGAGAGAGAGAGTCAGGCTGAGAGAGAGAGAGAGAGAGTCAGGCTGAGAGAGAGAGAGAGAGAGAGAGAGAGTCAGGCTGCACTGGCTGGATGCAGGCACAGACTGGAGATCGGTTGAATACCTGTAGGAATGGGCATGTTCTAACTGGAGAATCGAGTGTGGAAAAGTTGCCAACAAAACAAACCGAACTATCCTACTCTGAGAGAGAGAGAGTAGGATAGTTAGCAAATTCCCTCTGCCTCCCTCTGGCAAATTCCCTCTGCCTCCCAGCCCAGTATTTGGTTGAAACTTTTTTTTTTTTTGCCTGGGGGAGGTTACACAAACATTTGCCAGGACCACAAATTTCAAACCAGTAGGATTCTCCGTAAATCCAAGAGAACCTCATTCCTGCTGTCCAGCAGATTGTGTGGTACATATGATATAGAAGGCAATGTAGTGTTAGTTTACCTTTCTACTTTACCTGTAAAAAATAAGTCAAGGCATTTGGACTTGCTGTATTTTACAGCAATACAGCAAGTCCAGTTGCCTTGACTTATTTTTTCCAGATATACCATGACCTGGATGAATAAGAACCCAGACTTTATACTTTACCTTATGTTAACCACTGTGCACCAATAAAGCCACGTTCGGTCTGTGTCAGAGTTATTATCACACATAATTAAAACTGTACTGTTATATACTTATCAATAATTGTATCAAATGGAGATAAGCCTAAAACTGCCTTGACTATTACTTACAGAATAATATATTCAATAAAATACTTTGTAACTGATCTCTGGTCTTACATTGATTTATAGTTATTAGAGTAACACAATGGAGAGACCATTTGCAGTGCACATAAAGCACTTTATGCCTTGACATTGCTACAAATTGTAGTGAAACGTGTTTGGAACTGGGAAATTATTATAAACTGGATTATAGGCTATAATTCTAAACATGAAATAAAACACTAATAAGAAAGTCTGATAAAAGGATCAAGAGTATAGGATCAGATAGTAATATAAGGAGATCTGATAGGAGACAGTTATGATATTCTATAGTTATTTGGAACCATTCCTTAAAGTAGATGTAAACCCTGAAGGACAGTTTACTAAAGCATTGTGTATTATAATCAACTGCGATTTCTTTTTAATAAAATACTTGCCTTCACTTTTTTTTATCCTGTGCTGCATCACAGTGCTGATAATCTCCTGCAGCCTCTTTGTAGGTACTTCCTTTCTACATGCATACACTCCACGTCTGCATGGTGTTTCTCAGGGAAGGTTTCTTGATAGTAGCAACGGTAGAGCATGCTTGTGCAATGTGTTGAAAAAGCCACTTGTAGTCTCCACGGGCATGTGGCCGGGTGACAACCCAGGAGCACAATTGGCAGACAGGAACAGAGTTTTGTCACTTTATAACAGGAAGTGTCTGAACAAGGTACTTGTTGGAAAGTTCACCAGGTATTATTTTATTAAAAGTTGCAATTTAAAAAATATTAAAAATGACTTTTGAAACTACATTAACAGCACATATAAGACATTAGTGATTGGCTTTGCATGTACTTTAGTGCACTGTGGTAATGCACCGTGATGTCTGAGGGGGTAATGAGTTATAATACTTATGATTTTAATATGTTTTAATGTAAAAGTTATTTTTAGTCTGTTAATCCCTGTTCACATCTGTGCAATGTTTTGTCTGTTGTGTGTCGCACAACATCGCATGACAAGAGGAACCCAATCTTTTTCCAATGGTTCCTGTTCACACTGTTTCAATTTTCTTTTGTACATTTTTTTAAATGTTGCATCTCCTACTTTTGGTGTGACTTAGTTCCATTTTGACCCTATAGACTAACAGATAAGCAGAACTCCGGGCAAAAATGTTCTTAACCTTTCCAGTGGGGCTAACGCCGCAGCGCATGGGTTAAGTGCTCCTTTATGTCTAGATGCAAGGAAAAAGTTATACTCACCCAAATTGCATCCTATACACCGGGGTAGACCCACTACAAGGGTTAAGAACATTTTTGGCCATAGTTCTGCTTTGATGAAATCATATCAAAAAGGCATTTTGTAGACATTTTTTGCCAAAACAACAGGGCTGCTTCCCTGCAACTTCTACTCCACAAAGTATAAGAGATGGAGAGGCATGGAGAGAAGAGAAAAGGGGAGTGAAAGCATGTACATGACCTCTTGTGATTACTGGATGGACCCAGTATCTCTGCTCCCTCTTCTCCGCCTCTCCTTCAGTCGTGCTGCCATAAACAATGGCAAAGCCGCCATGACACAAGATTGCAGCACAACTGCACAAAAGAGCAGGAAGTTCAAAGGAAAATTATGCCAAACCACAGGAGATATTTCTTGTCATTGGGCAAACCAAAAAAAATAAAAAATCACGAAGCATAAAAAAGGCAAGAAAATTGCATTAAAAATGCACCAAACAATGCAGGAAAAGTGCAGGTGCACAAAGGCAAACCTAGAATAATAGTGATCATTAATATTGATTATTGTAATTTATCATAACAAATAAAAAAAAGTGTGACTTTGTCTACATAGCTGTCGACAAATAACTTGTCCTTGAATCCTACAAGTAATTAATAAGGAAGCCTTTAATGAATGCATGGTTTAATAAGATGCTAATAACAGGCATTCCGGGTGATCAGCCTGTCAATCCCAGTGACTATAGGAGGCGGTCCCCAGTGACATTTACAATCCCCTCTCCAGTCTCATTTACAGGTGTAGAAGAAGCTAACCACCGGCAGTCTCATCGGACCTGAGCTGGAGATGGAGAAGCTACAGGGCAATTTCAGCACCACGAACAGCTCCCTCCCTAAGCCGACCCTATACGCAGGGGGATTTGTGCCTCTGGACCTTGATGAATGGACTTTAATCATTCCCATCTTCCTGATATTAATCTGTTTATTAGGACTAGTAGGAAATGTGTGTGTGATCGCAGTTCTGCTTCACAATGCCAGAAAAGCCAACCCTTCTCTGATGCACTCCCTGATCCTGAATCTGAACATCTCCGATCTGCTCCTTCTGATGTTCTCGGTGCCCTTTAGAGCCGCAGCTTATTCAAGGTCCAGCTTAAACTTGGGCTGGTTTGTTTGTAAAACCTCAGACTGGTTCACACACACTTGTCTGTCTGCCAAGAGTATCACCATCGCTATAGCTGCGAGAGCCTGCTTCATGTACGCCAGCAATCCTTCCAAGCAAGTCAACATAGGACATCTGACGATCTTTGCGGTGCTGGTGTGTATTTGGCTGGTAGCTGCCGTGCTCCCCCTGCCCGAATGGTTCTTCACAGATGCCAGGCAAGTGGATAGCTCTTTCATATGCCTCATGAACATACCGGCTCAGGCACAAGAGATGATGGCCATCTTTGTAAAACTTTACCCAATCTTTGTCTACTGCATCCCCTTCACTCTAGCGTTCTTCAATTTCTGGAGAGCCTATGGGCAGTGCCAACGGAGAGGGACTAAAACGCAAAATCTTAGAAACCAGATCAGATCCAGGAGGCTAACTCTGATGTTACTGAGCGTCACTGTCAGCTTTTGCATCCTGTGGCTCCCCGAATGGGTTTCCTGGCTCTGGATTTGGCATAAGCCAGTCAGTGGTCCATCACCACCTCAAGCCTTTGTGACTTTGGCACAGATCCTCATGTTCTCTACGTCCTGTGTGAACCCTCTCATCTTTCTGGTCATGTCAGAAGACTTTAAAGAAGGCTTCAAGGATGTGTGGAAACGGCTGACTTCCAAAAAATCTTTAAATGGCAATGATATTCAGGATCAGGGGGCACTGAATTCTGAGGTCATAGCAGAGTCCCCTTGTCCAGGTCCCGAGTCTCCTGAGCAACCTGAACCAACTGATGGCAAGGTAGAACAGTCAAACTCTCAAAATTTTGGAAGCCAGGACAGCAAGGAAAACCCAGTTTTTCCAGATGTGGAGCAGTTTTGGCATGGACGAGAATTGGATCCATCTGAACAAAACAATGACCCTATACCATGGGAGCATGAGGAACAAGGAACAGAGGTGCCCAAGTCAGACACAAAACTTTAAGAATATTAACTTGATTGACTGACCAGCTCCATCAGGGCTTGTACATCTTAACTGCACCCTACAGTAATTTCCAGTGCCATTTATTTGTAGATTAGTTTTAAGGTATATCTAAAGCTAGAACATTCTGTCAGTTTTCAATAGTGTGGTAAAGGGTTAGAACGTCCGTCAGGCTTTATTGTTGTTTGTGACCTGTCTGTCCTGAGGACCATTGTCATTGGAACAGAAATTAATGGTAAATCCCAAATGTTACAGTTTTCAAAGAAACAGGAATAGTTGGGAAATCTTCCAGTGGGGGCAGATGTTCCTATCACAACAGGGTTGTTTTATCACTTTAGAAATACTTCTTCTCCCTTTCTGCTGTGCCCTTAGGACAGGAAATTAAGGTTAATCTCCTTAATGGACCAAAAGACTGGCACAGATTTTAAACATTCCTTTTTTTAATATAACAAAACAAAAAGTAATGGCTTCAGATACACTCTGTATATGTTGCGCTCTAGCACCCACAGAACAAGGTGTCTTTGTTGTGGGAGAGACATAACATTTGTATCTAAAATGGGTACATTGAGAGAAATTAAAAGTCAGACTGAGCACCAAAGTGAGGAGGAAAATGAGCCCTTTTTATTTTTTATTTTGTTGCCTTCTCCTTTCAAAGTGCAAACACTTGCTAGAGACTTACCTCATGTATGTGCATTTGTTACAATGTGTTATTCTGCAATGTGATGACCATTCTATCTACTCTTTCTTGGACAGAGAGTATAGAAAGGGTCAGTTTTAACCTGCACTGAGCATTGTGTGCGTGCGTGTGTTATTTATATATATCATCTATCTATATATATATAGATAGATATATCTAGATATATATATACACACACACAGTTGTGCTTGATTTTATTCTGACAATAAACCTTTGGTTGAGTAGAGAGTAATGTCGGACCTTGCATGTATTGTTTGGACTTGCATGTATTTGGATCAGGCAAGGTCTGGAATTTGCAACTGACTCTTGCAAAGGTGAATGTAGGACCAGCTCTCTTGTAGCAGTGGAGATCTCTTGCTTTAGGGTCCACTAACACCATCTACGTTGAAGCTGCTCTGGCCGTTGTTTCCACCGCAGCCCCAACACAAGACAAAGCAATTTGCCTTGTCGTGGATGGTGTCCATTCACACCACCGTATTGTGGAAGGAACGCGGTGGTGTGACCTGAAAAAGTAGGGCATGCCATAGCAGGATGTGATACACAGCCGACTTGCAACCCACAGAACTGCATGAAATGTGATACGTGTGGATCAGCACTGTGCCAGGGCACCACACACCAGAAGCTGCGCTACGCACACAGCATTCAGTTCTTACTTTTTTTTCAAAGCACACCACCACCGTTCCTACCGCAATGCAATGGGGTGAATGGGCACCATCCGTGACAAGGCATATTGTCTCACCTAGCATTGGAAACTGGAAACAATGGCCAGCGCAGCTCCAACACAGATGGTGTGAATGGACCCTACGTATGTGGAGGATTAGAACCCCTGTTAGGTTTTTCACTCTCTGTTTTAATGACCACCTATTCCTGTGACAGTTGTGTGAAAGGGGAGACAATCTAATTTTGTAGATTTCCTCCCACCTGCTTATGCATCTTTGAAACAGGAACTGAAGGAAACTCCCTAATGGATAAGAAAAAAAATACTGACAGGGGTTTTACCCATTCCCTAATCCAGCCCTTCTCAACCAGGGTTCGGTGGAACCCTAGGGTTGCTCTAGATGTGGCTAGTGGTTCCTTGAGTAGTGATGGACTGATGTCCTACCTTAAGATGCCTGTATAGTTATGGCACCAACCATACTAGGCTGACCCATTGGTGTGGGGCAAGCAGAGCATTTCTTCTAAACTCTCAGGCAAGTAGCCACTGATACCAATGATGTTTTTAGCTACCTTCTACCACTAGCAACCAGTCTAAGGGGGAGGGGGGCACTTGACTCAAAGCACCCCACTATCTCTATTCTATTATCATTATTATGCATATAGCTACAACATACTTATCACATTAATGTACTGTGAATTGGAGATAATAAAATTTCAGGGATTCCCTAAAACCAGTGGCCCAGGCAGCCGCTATGAGGCCCGGGGCACAGGGGGGGTCCCAGCCAGGACATCTCCCTGATGCCATGGGGCTGCCTGGGTCGCTATGGCATCGCAGGCTGCTGGCTGTCACTAACGGCTGTGAGGAGGAACGCGCCGCTATTCACATGTGCAGCGGCCCGTCGTGGGGGCGATGGAGGAGGCGGGGCCATTCAATCGAGGAGGTGGGGCCCGCAAGAGATCGTGGAGGAGAAGGAGGCGGACAGAGGACAGGAGCAGACAGGTAAGAGGGCTTGACTGCCCACTGAAACCCTGCAGATGGGCTGTTTGGTTTATCAGGTGGGCTTAACTAGAAATCACAGGGCCCCATACAAATTTTGCTATGGGGCCATGTGATTTCTAGTTACGCCCCTGCCTAAAACCTGATTTTTTGTTCAAGGGTTTCTTCCTGGTAAAAAGGTGGAGAAAGGCTGCCATAGTCTACTCAAAACTAAAAAATGGCTATACATACACTTTAACGGATGAAATAGCACAGGCAATTAAGGGAACAAGTATGCAGATCTGGAAAGTCAGGACAACATGTGTGTTCAGGGTCAATGACTTTATATATAATAGTCATGAAGCTACTGGATTAGAATGAGAGTCAGGCTAGTGAACTAGCATCTTTAGAAGTGGAGGTCAGCAATGGCAGCCGTCATACTTGCTTAGAACTTTCATATTTCCTCCTCTAAGGTAAACCTTGCAATGCTAGTCAAGCTGTACCACAGAAACCAAAGCCTTATAAGCACTGGCAATGGATGTTTTTTGAAATAACCCTGGCCTACGGGAGTCCCAAAAATCCAGTAAAACCTAATGAAGCAGATATTGTACAACTCTGAATAGATTTATATTTTGTGCAAAGTCGGGTTTGCAGTGTATGATTTACATTTGTGATTCATGGACTTCAGAGCACTTGCAGTCGGCAGTATGCTGCAAGCGAATTACTTGATCAGACCTGTATAAACTGCTGATTGGTGCTGTGTACTGCATTTGCCCGACATGTATTATGAATAAAGCATATGTGAATTGTATTATTCTTTTTTTGTACTTTTCCATTTCCCTGAAGTTTATATTCCAAAGGGTGATTGTATGAAATAATTCTAGCTGTAGAATGTTATCTTGTTTCCATGAGGATTATGTGCGGTAAGATTATTCAGAACACGCTGTCATCTTATCTTCTCATAAGGCTTCCTGTCAATCTTGTCATCACTGTACACCTGGCTTTGATTTGTGAAGACAAATTATTTTTTACTGGTTGCGATTCATTTTGGCAGTTTTTTTTGCTGGGGAAATAGCAAAATCATGATTAAAATGTCTCAAAGAATGAAAAGCTGTTTTGCACATGAAGACCAAAGTATAAAAGAGTTCAGTTATGACGATTTGATCCCCTAAACCAGGGGTGTCAAACTCAATTTAAACGCGGGCCGCATCAACATTATGGTTGCTCAAAGGTATCTGTAAGACTATATAAATGTATCTAATCTTTATCATAATTGCCTCTGCATTCGATTATCACTGGTTTTAGTAATAACTTAATACCTAGATCTGAAAGTAGAAGTCTAGGAAATGGCCTGGTGGGCCGAATTCAGCCCCTGGGCCTTGAGTTTGACACATGTGCCATAAACCAAGAACTGGTTGTGTCTCCAATATTATAGTGTGATGAAAGAAATTTGGGGCTCCCACTGCTAATCACATCCTAAAACTGCTACCTGCCTGGCTGTTGTGCTGAGCCAGTGCCTTCCATACTTTCTTCAAAACTGAGCCAGGACCAGAATGAGAATCAGGAAAGTCAGCAGACTCCAAGAATTGCAACCATTATTTCTGCATGACAGCAAAAGGTCTAGCATCTTCCAAAGGCAAGGTTAGCAATGACACCCTCATCAACAGCAAAATTAAGAGGAAGTTGGATTTACTAACCTGCTGAGAGAGGTCATGGCCGGATTTACTCTCTCTGCTGCCACAAGGCCAGGTTCCTCAATGCGCCCCCCCTGGCCCATTCACACTAGATGCAGTGTGTTCCGGCCCGATTCTGGCGAGAACGCACTGCCCCGCATTGCGGCCAGCTCATTTTGTGGTGCAGGAGGGGGCGTGGCGGGCCATTCAAGTGAATGACGCCGCAGCCACGCCCTCCGGCTGCAATGCGATCTGCCGCACTGGATCGCAAGGCACATTGTGCCTGCGGTGTGAACTTGTGCGGTGCGATCAAAATGCTACAAGCATTATTTTGATCGCACCGCTCAGGGCCGGACCGCAGGCACAATGTGCCTTGCGATCCCGTGCGGCGGATCGCATTGCGGCCAGAGGGCGTGGCTACGGCGCCATTCACTTGAATGGCCCGCCACGCCCCCTCCTACCCCACTAAAAAGTGAGCCGGCTGCAATGCGAGGCAGTGCGTTCCGACCAAAATCGGGCCGGAACGCACTGCATCTAGTGTGACTGAGCCCTTAAAGTGCCTCTGTCACTTAAATAAAGCTGCTAGCAGATACAAAGTGCAGACACCTAGAGAATACCTACAGCAACTTTCATTGCCCCCTGTACAGCTGAATGCCAGGCTGCTCTAAATGGGCAAAGCTGACACCTTATTACTAAATGTCGTACTACTATAGTACCACACATACTATGTTGGTCAGCCTTAGTGCCCAATAGGAATCTGTGAGAAGTACTACCCCTTTCAAGTGGAGTCACAGCTTTGCCTGATCAAAACGGCTCAGTATTTGGGCAGAACTGAGGCACTAAACGCTGCTGCAGATAAGTGCAGTAACCTTTGGGTGTCTGCCTACACCTGTGCTAGCATGTATAAAGTATAAAGTTGGAACTCCAGCTGATGCAGACCTACAAGTCCTATGAACAATTGCAGGACTCTGTCTGCCTCTGGGTGTCATGCCTGTGGCTGACGCATGATGGCATGAGTGCCAAGGATAACCTACCCCTGTGCTAGCAGCCTTTTATTTGTTGTCTTAAAGTGACAGTT